GTACCCAGCAACAACTCTAAGGGACATTACGATTGCGGGTCTGAGGACGGTACAAAAATATGTCACGAAAGAAACCTACTTTGTTTATATTGTTTCTTGCGGTTATTAATTTTCCGTGTGTATGTTTAAGAGAACGCATTTACTAGGAGCGGATTAAGTGGATATTCTTTAAAGGTTGCGAGCACTCCTGAGTCAGAGAGTGACTGCATCGGGGTCTTGCACTTAAATATGGCTGCCTTTGTTTAGCATAAGTAATCAGTGGCGGATCCAGACTTTGAGCTTTGAGTTTGTGTGTGTTCACCTACCGGCTTTTCTTCCCTCTGCGTTTATTTTTTTACCAAAATAAGGGGGGGGGGCGGTCCTCCGTGCCCCTCCCCTAGATTCGCTACCGTAATAACATGATTTCGAGTGCAATTTGTTGTCTTTGAAAAACTTAATGGGGCACTTGGAGGGGATGGAGGGGGGATCGGAAAAAATCAAAGCGCGACTGATTGACGCACTGGCTCGTTAGTAATCGAAAGAGAGAGAAACTGACTTGCCAACTGACTAAATGAATGACACATTCATGGCCACAAACGGGCCTACACGGACGGATGGATTGACTCTGTGAGCTAATGACTTGAGACTTTCTAGAACCACCATGATAAGTAATATTATTAGATATCTAATCAACAGAGCTGTTTCAATTTCTAAGGTTCCGACTTCAGCTGGTCCTGGTGGAAAGTTATCGGTTCTTCTCAAAAGTTTCTCAAATCCATCAAATAAAGACTTGAACGGAAATTGTTGTGAACCATCTTGTAGGAGTTGTGACTATTACTTGGAAATTTGTCTGAAACAATCTGTTAGCGGATCTTGTTTAGTCTCCGCTACGACAAATACATACCATAACACCAAACATGTTGTCTTTGGTGCAAACGAAGGCTTCTATCGTGGAGGCAGAAACCCCTTGGTATGGACTTTCTCTTTATGGAAGGTAAGCCAGGAGTGAGACGAACAAACATAAGTACATAGATTAACCTTACGAATCGTGCATGAGAGCTTTCAAGTACATCACTGTTTCTCTGCCTGAATTACACTGCTTGCAGTGCTTTTAAGAAATAATTTGGATATATCAACAAAGTTGAATCCAAATTACTTCGTTACCCCCACCGACGCAGCCCCTAACAGTTTCTTTAGAAACTATCAGCCTTTATTCTTTTAAGAAATAGTTCTTCTTTCCTTTGTCTGAATGTTTCTTTTCTAACCTGGACTGGAAATTATTGATAGATATGTTAACCCTTTCCGCGCGACAAAAAAAAAAAAAGTCAGTGTCATGCAAAGTACACTGATAACAGCTCGTCTAATAACTTTCCTCGTTGGTGATTTACCGTCTTAGTATCATTGCACTTATTGCTAAAGGAACTATATCACTGAAATCATTCCTAAAGTAGTAAAAGTAAGATACAGCAAAGTTTTATATAACTCTTGTAGGGTTCGTTCCTAATAAGTGTCAAAGCCATGGATTATGATCCACTATCATCGGATGACCTGATAGACGGATACGAAAAGACAGTCACCGTCATTCCAAGTTCATGGAGTTCTTCCAAGAATTGGCGGGAAATCAGTTTGGGTGGTAATCCATCTACGACTATTTTGCAATATACAGTCCAGTGTCACCAAGATTATTATGGTCCCAGTTGCACCAGGCTTTGTATAGCACGCGATGACAACATAGAAGGTCATTACACGTGCGATAAAACTACTGGTCATAAGGTTTGCCGCGTTGGATGGTATGATGCCAGCTGTAAAGTATACTGTATGCCTTACGATGACAACACGAACGGACATTATTCATGCGATCCTGGGACAGGAAGAAAGATTTGCCTAAAAGGATGGTATGGACTCACCTGTAAGGTGCACTGTGTCCCTAAGAATAACTCGCTGGCGGGTTACAAATGCGATTCCCGAGGGCGAAAAGTTTGTTTGCGTAACTGGTATGGCAAAAATAAATGTAGTGTTTATTGCA